TGGATGTAGCTAAAACATAGGCTACAACATAGGATTTCATCCTGTCTTCAGAGTCCCACTGACATAAATACTACCATGAAATAATATTCAGAACTTTTTAATTAATACCCTGTTGTATGTTAACTAAGATGTAGATGCAGCTACAAGTATGTACATGAGAACAGGTACACACTTACCCAGTTTATATCTGTACCATGTATCTTCCCTGAACATTAGCTTTCCTAAAGTAATTATGGGCAACTTTTTTTCTGTATTGTTACCTATATGGCGTGGCACTTCTGGAACAAATGACAAGTAAAGGGCATTTTGGAAATGACAACTCTACAGCAAATCATGCTCCTGTTCAGTATTAAAATGTTAAAGCATACCCCTGAGAGCTGCTCTGGAAAGGCAAGCTTAAATATTGTCCTCCACAAAAAGTATGCTGGAACAATAATGTTTCATAAAACATTAACATTAGCACTAAAATATTCAAAACATCCTTGGATTTGCTCCATCAAAATCATGCCCTCCTTTTTTTTCTTTAATACTGGCACCAGTGGCAGTATCAGTTTGTAACCATTCCCCTTGAACACTGTTACTGCAAGCAAAACACAGACACAGTTGAAGACAAGCAGGCTTGTTTTACTAAATAATGTAACTAGTTATTTTTGATGTATTAGTCTGATTTACTGTTTCAAAACAAATTTTTCATTTTTAGTGCAAAAAGTTGATTTCTATGGTCTGGTTGATGCTTTTTCATGCATGCAAATTTTTTAGAGAACATTTTGTCTTTAGCTTCCTGTTATGCACATTTTTAAGAGCTTAATGTTTCCTGCCTCCACTTAATATGAAAAGAACATTGCACGTTTTTGCTGAATGTCAATGAGATAGTTACATTACAGAGATTGTGTCTAAACGACTCTGAAACTGTGGCTGGATATTAGTAGAATTCTACCCCGTATCAGAAAAGAGTTTAAATACAAGCGATTTCAAATGAAATGGATCCTCTCAAAAATACAAAACAAAAGATGGGAAACTCTACCATCAGCAAATACTTATTTAAGTGATAAAGAAAAATACAGTAAATACAAATAAAATATAATCAAACAGTGGACAACAAAAGCCTTGCAGGGGCTTCAGAAATATATTTACAATTTATTTAGGTCACTTAATAAAGGTTTTGTCTCATCAGGCAGTAGATGAAGCAGCATCAGTCTCTCCCTAAACACCTTCAGTATTTTCCTAACGAAGTTACAGTACATCGGAATATTTTAATCTGACACAAAGAACAACAATAGATCTGACTGCTGGGCTGATAATCTTCTTATCACACCCTGTGAAACCTAGCTCTAATATTTGACTGAGCCTCCATTACTCGGCAACACATTCTAAAAAGGCCAACAATGGAGAGAGAATGAAGTGGAGTGTGGAAGTACCTCCATATCTACATAAAAGAGATTAGAGGCGACAGCGTTCCATTTTACAGCTCAATCATATTGTGTTAGCATGCGCTTATCCGAGCGCGGATGAAATTGAAAGAGAAATAAAAAAGAGTCAGGCAGATAGGAACCAGAAAAGCGAGGCATGAGCAATTTCCAAGGATATAAAAGGATGCTAATGGTGGGGCCCTGTCATTCTTAAAAAGGGCTATTAGGGCACCATCATCTGTTCTTGTGCCCTTACGCTCCTGTAACTAAAGTCAAGCATTTCCTAATGCCATTGTGATCTTTTTCTTCTTCAGATAAGACATGGTCATGTTTCATAACAACACACTTTCCATTTATTTGATTTATAAATGCAAGGCAACTAATTCTATTTACTGATAAAGGCTTTCCATGTATATTTTTCTTTCAATATTTCCTTTTGTTGTTGGCATAGACTTTTTACTCAATAAAAGCAACTATTGAAAATGTTTCCAATAGCACAAAAATACTAATGATTTTATGAAAGCATTCAAACTTTGCATAATTCTAAAACAATTTTTAGTCTGTGATCGCAATGGGAAATGGCTGGCTAGGGGAGAATGCATACTGTATTATCTTTTTATAGATAATCTCATTAAAGGACTTTTTGTTAGAACAGCAAAAACATCATTTTGTTTCCTTCCACAAACATAGATTTTACTTTGAATTACAATGTTTTACAGCCAAGATCTTTAGTTGTTATTATGCACCTGATATATAAGGGCCTTTAATTACACTAAACCTTAAGAAATCACTATAGCAAAGAAAGATTTGCTGATTGCTGATTTGCTGTGCTAGGCACAAATTCACCACAGGTGTAATTAATTCATTCCAAAAGATTTACACTGAAGATTTACTTGCTGTGTGAATCTGCCAAGAACTTTCATGCATTCTGTATCCTTTTTCTAACTTATCCTCTTTCCAGTTCTGTTTCTTTACTGTCCAGGTTAATATTTGCTATCTCAGACAATGGGCAGCTAGCATCAATCTGGGCTTTTCTACAAGTTGCTTTATACCAGACATCAACTGAGCATACACAATGCAAGTTTAGCAGCACACCATCAGTCAAAACCAGGCTATAACAGCTCATCACATTTGCCCTTTACCATGTCAAGGCCTTTTGCATTTTGATTTTTGTGATCGAATGCCAGACAACAAGCAGAGATTTTATCACTACCCTCTGTTACCAGAAGGCTTATAAACAGACTGCTTTTTCTTCTTGCTTAATGTGTTAAGTTTTTTTGTCCACATCTAGATAATGTCAAGTCAGTAAACTCAGTATGGTTTTCCACGGCAGGTGTGCTGAGTTTACCCTGTAATAAAGACCTGTCTCATGTCAGAAATATTCCTCAACCAGTTCAGACTTTAAATTTGCAATGCCACTTTAGAGCATCCAGTACCTTCTTCATGCTAACCAAAGACATCATTTTAAAGGCTAATCAGACTTATCTCTCTGCTCTTCCTACTCCTCCAGCCAAACTAAAGCTACGTAACATGTTCACAAATCAAGATGACAAAAGTTTCCTTGCAACTACTACACACTGTAACCAACTTCTTTGAGAACTGTTCTATTTTGGCTAAGGTGATGTAGGTATCTTCCAAAGATGAAGCTCAAACTCACCTGTTTAACTCATTTTGACTTAATTTGGGGTGCTTTATTAAGAAGCAGTGTAAGACAAAGTAGCTAGTATAATATAGAGTGATGTTTAAATTAGTTTACAATTTGCTTGGGCTCATCTAGAACTGCTCTGAACAAAGCCATTCAGAAATGTCAGCTGTGTTCCTAACCACTGTAACAAATTGTTGCCTGAACGCTGCACACCTAATGACTTCAAATTAGCTTCACTGCGATATTGCCTGACAGTTCGTTACGACTGTTAGCAACATAGCTGGCGTATCATGACCAATAAATTGGTTTCACTGTGGGCTGGGAAAGGGACTTCCATCAATTTGATTAAAGAAATTACTGTAGCATTCAAAGCATAAAGACAAACTAGTTTAAGGAGACAGAAATAAGTTAACTGTACCAGAAAAACACTGCTTATGATACAAAAGCTTGTTTATAGACCATTTACAGCAGAGAATGACTAAATTTCAACAGTGTGGTCTACAGACTATTTTACAATCCATAGGCTGTTGTCTTTCATCTATAGTAAAATAAGTTTCCGTAAACATACACATTATTTTATTGTTATTATTTGTTAGTATCTCTTATTTATCAGAGATTACTCAGAAGCACCTACCAGAACGCCTGAGGTCTTGACTGGTTATCATAAAGGAAAAACACAAAAACACAAAACCCAAGAGCCAATCCTTACCTGAAGTTAATGTTTGTTCAATGATAAATATCAGAGAACTCTAGGAAAAAGGTAAAAAACTGGAGTATAGACACTGCGTGTTCTGTTTGTATGAATGAAGACGACTCAATGCTCTCACTTTTGTTTCTACTAATAACAGATGTCTATTTCTCTGTGATTTCTTTTGATGTTAACAATAAAATATATTTAGTTATAATAAAAAGATGACTGGCTGCAGTATTTACTCTTTAATTAATCTTAGGTATCCCAAAAGCATGTTGAAAATGAGGAAGTTGTATTACTCAAAGGAATTAAAGAAAATCAGTTCTTACTCTCCATAGGCTTCATTACTGAAATTAGAAAACCAATAAGCTGATGAAAACACAAACATGCCCACTTATCTGCCTGACTGGAAAAATACTTTCAGAAACAAGAAAAAAAAGACAATATTTTCTGTGCTACTTTGCCGTTTGTGGAAGGCAACAGACTGAGAATCGTGATACTCCCTACAAACTTATTTATTTACCCTCAAAAGAGACACAAATACCTCTGCATTGATGGAAAATATAACCCAAATATTATCTGAAGAAATCACTGATCTTGCAAGAGACTACTGTTGATAACTCTGCTTTTCTGGCCAGGTAGCTTTACAAACATGAGCATGTAGACAACCCAGTCCATTTCATGCAGACAAAGGAATGACCAAGCTATTGGAAGATACCTTTTGGTACAATTCAGTTACTTCTATTGAACTATGGACATACACCAGTTCTCACACTAGCTAATTTAAAGAAGAGCAATTCCTCTGTGCTATGCCAAAACAAAACTGACTTTTTGCAGTTCCCCTGGACAGTGTCAGGTAGCACAGTCTTTGTAAAACAGATGAGCTAGATTTACATTTGACTCCTGCTGAATTAGATGATGACTTCAGAGCGCCTGCACTACTCTTCATATCAGGCTCCAGTAGCAAGTTTATGTCAATAAAAATAACATTTAAAAAAAAAAGTCTCACTTAGTGGCATGTAAAAATTACAACTGTGGTAACTCTCATAGCAAGAATATCACCATTTCCAAGCTAAGGTATAATATCATCTAACCTATGTCCTATGTGAATCATCTGGAGCCCTAAGAAGATTTCATGCATTGTACTGGGAGAACAAATCACTTTTCTTTTTTTTTTTTTTTTTTTAAACCAGAGCATAACAATGGATGTCATGATTTATGTATGTAATTTATTTGCAATAAATACTGTATGTACCTGGAATATGCTTAGCCCATCCAATGATCACCACCAGTTCTCTGTCTGCCAGGTCACAAAGAGTGGTAAGTGCTTTGATGTCACTGTCTGGAACAGTGGGGTCAGGCATCGCATAGATCTTCTCTGGTTCAGCCACCAGCAAATGGGAGACAATCTTGTTATCTGTAAAAATGGCCCAGAACAGTACAAGATCACGAGTAGCATCATTCTACTTTTCAAACAGATGGCTCATGTTTCAATGCACATAAGAATTTATCTTAAGATATGGGACCCAATTAAACATTACTGCAGTTTCACTGGCTTCAACAAGCAGTTACAGCACAGACGAATCTGATCCATTCACAATGTTTATTGAACTAGACGTGTATGTAAAAATGAAAATTTAATGGAACACAGAAATATGTGATCACCTCCTTCATGCTTTAGAATGCATTTTTGACTATGCAAATAGAAAAGTTTTTCCTTTGTCTGATTACCTTCAAAACCAAAATATCCATACCAACAGCATGGAATGGTAATCTATAATAAAGTAATAAAATAATTATTTAGTCCATGAAATTTGCAACTTCTGTCACTGATTCCAACTGTCATTCTCTGATTCAGGTGTTTTCATTGAACCATTGTAATAGAAGCAATCCTAGACTTTCTCGGTGCTTATTATCCCATAAATTGTATATTATGGGTATTGTGCCTGCTAAAATACTGGTAATGAACCTGTACTCATTAGGGCCTAATCCTATGAGAAAAGTGAGTATAGTCAAATACTTGCTTTTCAGTGATACACACATATTTAGAATCATGTATAAAATCAGCTTCTTTAATACAAATGTATAAATATTTAAAAACAGAATGATAATTTCTCACTTCCAGTTGGGAAAATCTAATAAAAGCAATGAGATTGAAGAGTGCAAAACTAGGAAGAAACAAGAACAGATGTAGATCCTACCTCTTTGTTTTTGTGCAAAGAATGATACTTTGTCATATGCACACATGTATTATCTTTTATCTATATATAATTCATGTGTTTAAAATTTCATCCACGTGAATAATATTTATTTATTTTTTTTTATTTTAAAATAAGCAATCAAGTTATAAGTAAAACTGAAAGCAAAGAGTGGAAAAGCCTGGGAGATTTACAGCATAGGGTTGCCATTCTATACTAAGAGAAACAAAATATGAGCATTATAGCCACATACAGCTACAACGGAAATATCTTGTCATCATGCAGGAGCCTGAATTGTCACTCTGAGAGAATATAACTGAAAAATGGGAAAATTAACTAGTTCATCAAGCCTCCTAATGCAGTACAGATTATTTTAATTCCAAATATATTTACATATTTTTTTTTTTTACCTTTTTATGGTATCTTCTCAATTGCACCACCAGAAAGTCAAGCCCAAACAGCACCCTTTAGTGAATTTAAACTAATTGCTTCCTTTCTTATGATAAAGAATAATGGAGCTTGATATAAATGAGATTCCACTGGGAGAAGATACAAAGCACTGCAGAGAAAGCTCTTAGAATTAGTATTACTTTCCTTTCCTGCATTTAAGTCACAAGCTGGACCACAGTGTCCTCCTATGGAGAAATGCAGTGCAAGCTGGCAGTGAAGTAACTTGCCCAGGAGTGTCAGAGGGGTTCCCTATCAGCCCATGACAGATTTCCATAAAACACTCACTTGATTCTGATTTCTGATACTTTATGGCTAGTTTGTGACATAGGCTCCTTGATTCTGATCTACTGTCTCTACAATTTTTGCCTTATTCCAGATTTGTGTGTCAGAAGTTGTGATATATGCTAGCCCTTCATAAAATGAGTACTACATAGAAGAGCCAACTGGAAACCATCACATCAAGCATGTTTTATTACAAGAGGATATATTCATATTTTATAGAAACTATAGGAACTATGCCAACTGAGTAATTCTTGATCTCAATATTCTACTGATTATCAAACTGATTAATGAGAAATTGTACTCTTATTTAGAGATGACAGATGGTAATTTTTAACTTATATTGGCAAAAAGCCTTTGCACATCTTTTTTTATTTTTATAAGCAGTCTTTCCTTAGCCTTTTTAGTTTTATGCAGTTCATCATGTTCTTAAGTGAGAAAAAAGTGCTTCTCTCAAAATTCCAGTTTTATATTTTTGCAAAGTAAGATAAAATGACTTTTAAATATCAAAACATCAATTTGAGAACCTCAACTTTGCTGCTTTTTTAACTAATGATAAACAAATGAAGGAGGACTCCTGTTCCTAAGTTCTGTATTTTCCCTGTAAACAGAAGTAGTAGCTAAATAACTTTTTTTTTTTTTTTCTTTTTTAAAATGAGGCTCCCCATCAATGGCTTTTTGTAAATGAGTCAGTAATATTGTACATTTTGGCTTATGACTCAAACATCTCAAAACCTTTTACTTTCACAATCAACAAGATCTACAGACAAGCCATGAGATTTCATGGTGAAGCTGGAAAACAGAATTCAGGACACAAAATCTTCCAAACATCTGATCTTTCTCTATAGGGAAAAGAACTCCGTGTACTGAAGCATGTGGTAGTATATGACATAGGGAAATTCTGAATGAACTCAGAAAGCCCCATCACTCGGGAAATTGAATAGCCATGAGCACTGTTTCTAGGTAAATCTTATTTAATGTTTCCCTAATTAGAATCAATAGAACCCAATTTTCATTCCCGTGCCTTTGTTATGCACGAACTATCAGTCAGGGTCCAGAAAATCTCCCAGGCTACTTCCACACAAAACCGATTCAACTGTTTCAAGTCTTGACACTTATCTGACAGGATCTGAAAATTAAGTTTTATAAATGTTTGTTACAAAAATGTTTGTAATTAGACAAGACGAGGAAAATGAAGGGAGGCATTCAGATAATGAGTAATGATTTATAAGGAGGTTAGTTTATCTCAGACAAATGGAGCTTACAGAAATTGGTGTAGTTATCGTCTTAGAGGTAATGTAATGCACTACTTTGCAGTAATCTCGGGTTTACAGAGATTCTTGTGTTCCAGTACAAGAGTTTTAACCTCCTTTGTATCAAAGGGCTTGGGGTTGTTTTTCGTTGGTTTTTTTTTTTCCCCTGCTTGGTTTTGGCTTTTTGGTATGCTAGGCTATCAGCATTTCTACTCAATGACAATATCAAGTAAATGAAAAACTGACAATCTGTGCACCCAGGAAAACTAAACCTCTAATGAAATTAAGCATTAGAGTTTATTAAATTTTATTGTATTATCAGAAAGTTTTTATTATAATGTGCAAAATCTGCTTAGTGCAGCCCTAGATTGTATTTACAGAACGGTGGGACAGCTTATGTAGGCTGAGTAGAAGATGCCAGATTGGACAATTGAAGGAATATAATCAGCATAATGTTTTTTGGAAAGGCAAAAGGAAACTATGCCATATGTTCACTTAAGCCTTAATTTTATATAAAACTGGCTGTTTTTTCTTTGACACAGCTAAAATGCCCTTTCACTTACAGTTCAAAGACTGTTTATTTGCTCTCGAGAACCCCATATGCTCAAACGTATTGCACACAGCACTGTCCCCTACTGGGGAACATGTTCTGAAACAAATTCCATTTTCTATACAGCCAGGTATTTTCAAGAGACTAAAATTGAAGTGCGTGTTGTCTCTTTCTGTCAGATGCAGAGTGGGAGATGGAAATGCAAAAGGAGGAGGAGTATTCTCTCCTTATTTGTCTGGTTTATTTCTCTACTTTTAAGAGCGAATTAACCTCTCTAACACAAGCAACTGGATGCGTGAATTCTGATTTGAATTTGAAGTTTATAGCCATTAATACAGACTGTATGCCTTTGCAAGCTAATACACGAGCATCTTGCACTACAGCTATAATGCTATTAAATTTACTTCATGGAATTAGTACAGTCACTGCTTGAGTTTATATAAGCTGCAAAGCAAAACCCCTAACTATTTTTAGTTAATCGCAAAGAGGATGGAACTTGTATTTTGGCAATGAGATGATCAGCTCTCTCTCTCTCTTTTAATTTCAGCCTGGCAAGATAAAATCAAGGACACCATGAAAACAAAACAACAACACACACAAAAAACCACCATAATGCTTATAAGGGCACTAGAGCCCTAACAACCAATCTATGCTTGTTAATAGTGTGGCATATTGCTGTTTTAATCTAATGCTAGGTAATATGTTAATCTATGAGTATAAATTAATGAGGCTCTTAATGTATTTTCATTGGGATGTTGAGCAGTCAAACTCATTTAGTTAGTGAAAACTACAAAAATCACTTTCTTGTGAAATCGGAAACTAGAAGCTTCAATGAACTAATGATCGCAGTATGAACCATTTTATATACTACTGAAAATAAAGATAACACATAAATGTAAAATTTGCACTGCATAAACGATACTTTTATACACTTCCACTGGTAGGAATGTTCTGTGTTCGACTGTGCTTGAGAAAGGATGAGTATGTTTAAAACAAAGTAGGTTAACAGCTAAATGGCTATTGCATTCATGGTAATATCTTCTGCCCACAATCTTGCCCCATTCAGAAGGTGCCCAGCAAAGAGGGCTACGAGTCAATCCCTGGTATTCAAAGAGAAATTTCATTTATCTGGTGTACTCACATGGCTTTTTTGCTGGCTGAACTAGCTGAGGGTTCAGGTATGGGCTATTCTCTGCATCTATTCTGCGCTTGTACTTCTGGCGACCTCCACGTACTCTATCTAGGCGGACACCTACGTTGGGAAAATAAGCAAACATGACATTAAATGTATTACAAAGATAATTTTAACAAAGCAATCTTCTAACTACTGCCTTTCAGGATTTATTTAAAATGTGTGTTTATTTCAAACAGTAATTTTAGAAGCAAGGAAAAGCAGCACTGCAAGTATTTGAAAGCTGTTTTTACACATGATTTTTACACATGCAAGACTAAAGTATAAAGCAATTTCCTGTTTAGTGAAAATCATTTGTTCAATTTTACATAGTATTAATAACAGCTAAGGAGTTTAGATTCCATTACGAGAAAGTTTAAGCTTAAGTCTTCTTCAGCAGATGCAAAAATTCAAAGCTGTAACAAAAACCACTGATACACAAAGCTAACATTATGAAGACGAAATATAGAGAGAATTAGAACTTCAGAAAAAAATTGGTGCTATGTACAGTCTAAAGAAGTGAAAAACATTGTTTTTAAGTATTGTGGCCAGAGAACATAAAGTAAGTACCTTAGTAAAATAAGGACCTGTACGTGGATGAAAAACCCAAAATGGTGCATGAGAGTTTGAAAGAAGTTGTATAGGCGTTCATTTATATCAGCAATGATATAAATTAACATCTGTAGTTTACTTTCAAATTGTCCATTGCTTCAATAAAGCATTCCGATGCCTATTTGGTACACAAAGAGAGGAGCTTGCTTTCCTAAAATAAACCATAGGTGTTCTGATAGACAAAACAAGAAAGAGGGATAAGGATGGCGGATCCTATAAAACAATGAAGCGTTTTTACTTCTGAAACAACAGATTTTCCTACAACCATGAAAAACGTCAGTATATACTTTTCTATTGCCATTATTATGCTCTACACTACTATTCCCCATCTCCTTGTTCTCTTCCTCATAGGAAACAGCTCCAGAACGGGCTTCTGGGCTGTGGGGAAGCTACCACCAAAGTAATTACAGTTTATGTGCACAAGAAGATGACAGCATCGAATTTATGCACTGCCAATCAACAGGGAAACACCTGTCACTACTCTTCCATTCTGAAAAAATAAAGAGAATTGACTGGGTTTTGGTAGAAAAAATGCCATTTTATCAAACAGCCATGAATCCAAAGCTAGATCTCGTTTTTTGGCTTTAACTCTTTTTCTTCTATATCTCTTGTGTATCTCTTCCTTTTCCTGTCCTATCTTCCACTCTCTGACCTGGCATGACACCAGCCTTCAAGAGCACACAGTAACTGAACCAAGGAAGATGGCTTTTAATTTTGTACTCTCATACTTGGAGTGAAGGCATTGCACACGTGGTGTTTTCATTTCCCTAGAAGAGCCATTAATGTCTGTGAAGGTGAAACACAGAACTTGGCTTAAGGTCCCAACTAATGCCTGTGACCATAATGCAGTGCACTGGCCACAGTAACAGTGCTCATGTTTTTGGCTCACCAGGATGTTTGGTAGTGATCATCTGCATGTCATGGTAAAATTTGGTTTAATTCACTGTAGAAGGCTGTGCATTTAACTCTCCTGACTTACTAATTATATCTCTTATTGTACTTTACCAATTACACTTTTGTGAATAAAATTATGCAAACAATAAAACTAACCAATCACACAACCCAAACAGATCAATATATAATTATGGGAAAAAAAATCTTACTTATAGTATTCATCTTTGTCATCATCAAGCTTTTGACTGGTTGTTGGTCTAAAATATTTGATACAAATTCATAGTAAACACACCTTCAAAAACAAGAAGCAAAAGACCAAGCTTTGACAGTAGAATATTCAGAAATAGGTAAAGCATTAGAACAAGACATGATATTGGTGGGATTACAAAAAAGTCTGCCCAGCATTTGAAGAAAAGTAGATAGAAAATGATTTCTGCATAATTCAGATGCTATCTTTCTGTTTGGGAACAGATTTCATAGTGATAAAGATGGATAGCACCAGACAGAAGTATGTTTAATCAAAAAGTAATGGAACTGAAGCTTAAATTAAAATAATATAAATCTACCAAGATGAACAATTTTTTTTTACCTCCCCTGCATTTGCAGATACACACTCAAGCCATTCACATAGTCAGTGAAAGGGAATACAGAAAAATATCACAAAACTGTATGTAGAACCATGCACTCACCTTCATACATACATATATACTATTAATCATAGCTACTTGTTGAAAAAAGAAAAGCAGTTGGTTCTGCACAATTTTAAATTACACAAATAAAGTATAACCAATTCCAATTTTAAAGCAAAAACATTTTTAAAGCAAAAGAAAATAAATTAGAGGTTTATAACCCTATAATTAAAACTGATAAGGATCTTCTAAGCTTTCCTCTCAAGTAAATTTTTCAACACCAACTTCTTATAATCTAACACGTGCTAAATGGTATGTTACTTCCCAAGAGCCTTTAAAGGAGAAACAATGCAAGATACTCCTTAATGAAGGATACCAGCTTCATATTTAGTAAAAACTTACTGTAGTTTGGAAGATAGCAAACTGAAATCCAGAGGTTTGTAAGTCTGTACATACATTTTTTTTCCTATAACTCCCATAGCTTGCATAAGAAAATTCATTACAAGAAGTTACATTTATCTGATTTCAAAATGATAACAGCTGATGCCTTCTTTATTTAAAAAAAAAAAAAAAAAGCAATCTGTTGAGAAAGCCTGAGATCTTCATCACAGTTAATTGCTCTAATTCAACACATACTCTTTACTTAGATTATTAAAGAGGATATTGTGGCATCTACCTACAGCACAGGGGGATGTTAAGCAGACTCCTGACTTAGTTCTGTATGTGACTTGTCAGGAACAGCTCAGAGACAGCAGCTTAGTTCACTCACCCTATCAGTGTCCCCAGCTGTAAAATGTAAAGAAAGGTACCCATCCCATCTATATAAATTAACATCAGAGCTGAGAATGGGTTGCACTGAGGTACTATTACAGTTGTTTAGGGTTAAAATTTCCACTAGTATCAGTGAACAAAGTTCCACTGAAGACAGCACTGAGCTTCATTTTGAAATTCTTCAGCAGAGAAACAAAACCCCAAATGAGAATAACAAGGCTGACCACACAGAGTCTTATTTTGGTACTAAGAGAAAGAACACTCCTGCTACCATTTATAATGTGACTTCAACAGTCAAGTGCAATACATTCACTTTATGTCTTAGAACAAACACAACTCATGAGCTCATCAAGCTCATCTTGGCACAAAGGTTGTCAGCTGCTTACCAACATAGAACAGAATGATACTGGGCACAAACTCTCTAAAGAGAAAGCATCCACGGAGTCTTGCACAGAAATAATTGAAGACTAGCTGCAGAAATAAGCCACCCTCCAGAAATTTCCATCCAAACAAACTTAACACAGGCAAATGTGAACTCTCCATTTTCACCTGTTTTAAGTTGTCTATTCTTCCCTCACCAATGCTGTTGCATGTTGTTATTCCTTTTCTGTACTACTTTTCTTACACTGCCCTGAAGCATTCACTTGTGACAGGTACCCCACTGTGACCAGCATTACATAATCACAAAGAGTGCCCTTGTCCCAGCACATCATTCGTTTTGTGATTCACGTCCTCAATATGATAATCATTTCTAACTATCTGTTATTTTTCTACACAGATCCAAGCAGTGCTCCAATTATATCATGAATTCCTTCATAATTTGCCTCTCTTCCTCTAACACAGAACTCTGTATGGAGTATGTATCTTCCCATCTCATTTTCTGGGATACATAACTGGGTAAGGTCTATTTTATGCAGCTGCTTGTAAGATTTCTGCATTGCTTTAAATTTTACATGTAAAATTTTATATTTACTAGTAAGAATAGACTCCAGAAAATTGCACCTTGCCAAGCATTAGAAGAACATCAGTAGGAGGAATTTTAATGGCAGTTTCTGACGCGGCTTTCCTTTGGGCCAAAATCTTGGTGGAGTGTTCTGGTTCCATTTGATCACACCGTGCCTGTTAAAACTGCAGGCTAAACTTGGGTGAATACTGTAAAATTTCACACATTCACAGAGAAAGAAATTTCTCCGCCATGAGCACAGACAGGTGTATTCAGAAACATGAATGCATGGTCATCTAGTTCCTCTTTAGACAATTCAGTTATCTCTATAGTTTGGGATTAGATAAATATGAGGCCAGTACATTAACCTTAAAGTCTGAAAGATCTGCAGTGCACTTTAAACCACAAAAGACTTTCCACAGCCTCATGGAAACGTACAGTTAGTAGCAAAGCACAAAGAAAAAGCACAACAAGAGCTATCTTTTCTTCTAGATCTGCATACTTGCTTTGTGTGCTGAATTGTAAGGATGCTGGAGAGCTTCTGAAATCAGTTTTACAAGGTATTTGGATAATACCAAGCACAGGTAAAAATTCATCAAGATGTGTAAAATATGTGTCCATTAGGCAGGCAATAGTTTGAAAACAGAGCCCTAAGTCATCAAAGTAGATAAAAGCTATGACTCATGTTAAAGCTTTGCCGATCTACAGTTGAATTAACAACTAGCAGGGGAAGGCTCTAGCATCTTGCTTCCAATAGCTATCTGCACTATTAAACACATTACTTAGTATAGCAAAGGAAGTCTAAAAATCATTCTCATACTTTACATACAGTCAGAATTTAAAAATATTTGTTATTACGGGATTAAAGTGGCTTATTTCAAGAGCTGCTTATAAATGGAAAGACAAGACAGTGTTTATTATTTTAATATCTAACTTTGTGACTTTAAGTTGCATAATTTATCTGTTCCTCCAACAAAAATTTGCAACTGATTTTTATTAGCCAAAACAATTTTCCAGGTTGAAAAATCAAATAAGAAAAACGCACTGTTTGTAAGATATTGTTTCAAGCTATTCTTTCATTAAAGACTTTGCCCATGTTTAATAAAAAAAAAATGTCCTTAGGCAACCAAATCTCAGTAATATTCTGGCAAAACTTTGTTTTTTTTCTTGGAAGCAGGCTGGATTTTGCCATAGAAATTGGAAAAAAAAATCTCTTACATTAAATCCCAGAA